GATCTTTTGATAAGTTTTTCTGCACCTTACTGTTATTTTAACCAACAGGCATAAGTGGCCCTTCTTTCTTAAAATCACTAAAAATAACAAAAATAAATAAACATTCAACAAATTTTTATTTATTTATAATAATTATCAACCCTCGTGAGTCGACCAGCTAGAAGATGTACCAGTAAGTCGTGCTAAGCCGTAACATACATTTGATGTACAAACTTATTTTGACACTTGAAAGCACAAATAAGTAGTAGACGTATATTGTAGGCGTGCAACGTCATAACATATTCGATGTATAAACTTTGCTTGACACTTAAAAACATGAATGTGGATCAACACGTAGCTCCAGTTTGGCCACCGAAATGTTCCTAGGGGGCATGGTGACTAAGTAGTAACCACCTTACATTGCTTACTGAAACTATCTTCACGAAATTCAAGAAAAATATAGTTTTAATCTTACAATTTTAACTAAAAGAAAACACAACACAAGACCAAGAAGAAATAAAAATGATAAACTAACATATTTCACGAATAAGATAGGAAATATGCATGGATCTCTCTTCGGCAGTTCAACAACAACAACAGCATCATGTGACATCGTTTTTGCATGAATTTGGTTAAGGGCATTGAATTAGGATTTGTAATAAAGTCAAAATTAAGATACTCTCTATCTAGGCATCCGACCAAAAAAAAAATGACGAACCCACAGAGAATTTTATTGCAAATCCTAAAAGGCCAAAACAAACTACTAAAATTAGGGGTGTCAGTCGAAAAAACGACCGTAGATGTACAAACTAAAGCACAAGCACAGTTACCGCCATGTGACCAATCAATGTTGAATTAAGTACAACTAAACATGTTAGCACAAGTGTAGGACTTTATATAACATATCAGAGGCGGACGAGTACCCGGTGTTCTCGTCATGTACAAAGAAACTTAAGTAGCCTTCATCTTCATCAGAAGAGATACCGGGCTGCTGGACGGGGAACAAAGATGGCTTTTCATTGTTTTACATAAATCAAACATATGGAGATGTAACATTCGACATGCCCCCATTATTTTCTGTCTTCCTAATCAAAGTATGAACCTCAGGAGTCACGAATCACAACCAACAAAAAAAAAATAAAATCAAATTGTTTAAGAAAAACCCAACAAAACAACCAATTACGATGAAACAAAAATTGAATTTTGCGACACTTGATTCACAAAGTTCAAGAACGGAAAAAATTTAAATTCTCTCACACTCAAAACTCCTTCAATTTTAATCTTCATTGTTTTTGAGTATTTGTGAAAGACACTATAGTATCTAATTATATTTCGCATTTATACCATGATGTTTAACCTCGCAATCAATCTTGAGCATGCATTAATGGCTCCAAAGTCTTGGGATGAAGTCTATTTCTGTGACTCACAAATCTAAAATAGTACTAAGCGCACTCTGAAATTATGACAGACACTGGGATGGACAGAATATACATTGCAACTTGTGCAAGGTAGGGCATTTGCTTGAATTCGCTTTCTACCATCCTAATAGGTCAAATTCACTCGATCTAGACAATAGAGGCTAATCCCAAGAACAAATCAAGCTTTGATATCATGTTATTAGTATTATG